TTTTTTTTAATTTGTTACAGGGTCTCACTAAGCAACTTGGACTTACAGCGATCCTCCTGTTTTCAGCCTCCCCAGCGCTGGGATTACAGGAGTACGCCACCACTCCTGGTCTCAGTGGCTGGCTCATTGTGCCCGGGACAGGGCCAGGTCATGGGAGATCGAACCCCAGTCCCAGCGCTTGCCTAAGTTGGCCCTTAGGTCACTGAGCTATCTTGCTGGCCCTCACAAATCTTAAAAAGAAGACTTGTGCTAATGCTGTTTAGATGTACATTTTAATGATAAGGCAAAGCTGTGGGAATCCACAATATCCCTAGGACTAGATGGGCTAGTTCTAATTTTATGTATCTCCAAAAATGAAATTCTTTGCATAGTCGGCCTAAAGTGCTCCAGTAAGATTTGCCTCCATTAAAAGGTTCATCTTGGGCTAGGGAGAAAGCTTGGCAGTCCAAGTGCCTGCCTGGCAAGCACAAGGACCTGAGTCAATCCCTGGTACTGCATGCCATGCTGGCCCCTAAGCCAGGCACAGCGGCACACGCCTGTAATCCCAGCGCTGGGGAGACTGAGACAGGAGGATCATTATGAGACCTAGCTGCATAGTGAGATCCCATATCAAATAACTAAAAAAAGGTTCATCTCACCAATAATAAAAACCCTTAATCAGATAGCTGATGAATAAGAAAAAGTTAAAACAAGGAGAAGCTAATCATTTCCTTCGCTGGAAACGCTCGGAGGCCGCCGACCTTCGAGTTCTGCGTGGAGCGCCCCTCTGGGGAGGAGGAGGTCCTTTAGAAGGCTGCTAAAGGCCCTTGCGGAGCGGAGCGGCATTTCCTTAAGCCTGCATTTCCGGTGGCCGCAGCGCATCTGCGGACTCCCTAGTGGTTTACACACATAGAGGCAGACTCTCAGGATCACGTGACACGCGGTGCTGCGGGCAGGCCGCAGGGCGGCGAGGAGCATCCGGTCAGCTCTCTTCCCTCCAGCCTGTTTCCCGGTGCCCCGGAGCCACCCAGAGGGCACCCGGGTCCGAGGGAGGCGGGGGGCGCGGCCGGCAGGCCCGTGGATGCCTCATTTGATCCGTCTGAGGCCTCCTTCCAAGCTTTAGTATTCACGCAACTTTGAACAAGGTGCCTAAACTTCTGCCCCTGCTTGGTCTTCTCTAAAGCAGAGGCAGCGCTGCCCGCGTGCACTCTGCGGGGTCGGAGGACGCGGCCTCCACGCACCTCTGCGGACTGTGCAGGAGGAACACCAGCGAGCGGGCTGGCCAGTGCCGTCGTGCGCGACACCCTTGACCCGGAAGGCTCTTTAATGAGCAGCAGTCAACAGAGCCCGAAGGTGAGACCCCAGGAAGGTCTCCGGAAGCCAGGAAGAGGCCCGCAGGACCTACAAGTGGACAGACAAGTGGCTGAAGAGCAAGGAAAGTGCAGAGCCAAGAAAGCTGCCAGACAGGCGTGAGGTCCAGACAGGTGTGCGCGCCTCTCCCTCGGGGGCGCCTCTCCCTCGGGCTGGTCTGCCCTGAGGAGCAGCAGAGGGCTGAGTCACCCGCGGTAAATAGATAGATATAGAGATAGAGGGTTTTTGTTTTTTTTTGCGGAACCGGGGATTGAACTCTGACCCTTGCACTTGCCAGGCAAGCACTTGTTCTACTGAGCCATCTCCCCAGCCCCTCTTTGGCTATATTTATTAAGATACTAGATCTAAGCACTATTTTAAAATACTGAGTAAAAAGAAAAACAAAAACTCTACTTTGCTGGAATTTGCGCTCCATGAGAAAAGCCACAACCAACAAAGGCCAAGGTGACTGTCCTCGGGGCTGGCTGGCATAGAGCAATGAAAACAGGATATCTGGGGAGAAAGAAAGCAAATAAGAGGGTGCGCTGTCGAGTGGGGGTTCCAGAGAGGCTCCTCTGAAAGGCTGATATCTGAATCCAAAGCCTTCCATGAACCATCAGCGCATTTAAGTCTTATGGAACCCTATGAGACAAACTACATTACTATTGCCATTCTGTCACTGATGAACCTGAGGCTCGGGGAACTTAAGCATCCATCCAACAGCTCAGAGCAAATGAAGGAGGATAGAACTCAGGCAGTCTGGTGCAGGCGGCCATCATCTGACATACCACTGAAGAAAGCCTTCCGGATGGGCATGCTCAAGGCAGCAGAGAGGGTGGAGGAGTGAGGATGCTCCTCACCAGGCTCTCACATGAGGCCCATCAGGACGCACTGAGATGCGCAGCCAGGACAAGGCCTCCATGTCTCTCAGAGACCTCCGTGGGTACCCTGGAGCCTAGACATGGCTCCCTGCTGGTGGCCTCCCATGGATCAGAGGTGGAGCCTCCCTCCCTCCTGCCAAGCACCGAGAAGGGGTCAGCAGGGACTGTCTGGGACAAGGACGGGGGCAGCATTGTTGGCAGGGACGCCAGGGCATGTTCTATCTTTGAAGAAATGCAATGGACCAGACATGTCCACGTGTATTCTTTACTTTAAGCCTTGTCCTTGCTGTGCTCACTTGTCATTTTATTTTAGGAGTGCTGAGAACAAAATGATAACACCTCGAAATTCCATGAATGGAGCTTTCCCAGCAGAGCCTCCAAAGGGCCCTATTTCTATGCAACCTGCTCAAAAAGTAAACTTGCAGAGGATGTCAGCAGTGGGCCCCACACAGAGCTTCTTCATAAAGGAATCCAAGGCTCTAGGCGTAAGTCAGTCTCCCTCCGCTGCTCCAAGTCCCGGAGCTTCTGGCCACAGCTGATGCTGCAGGCCGTGTGCAGAGTCCAACCTGATCAGAAGCCATGAGATCCTCCTGGTGCATTCTTTGTGGCTGACCCCATGAACCAACTCGGGGATGTGCTGGAGACATCACTACCAGGCTCACCATTTGCTTGGGAAGAGTTGTGTTAGGGACCTCCCATCCCAGCCCACTATTAAATTCCTAGCATATCTCTGGTCCTTGGAAATGACCAAAGGTGGGGAAAAATTGACCTGAAAAAGAAGAAAGTGAAATCCTCCGTGCCTCTCCCGTCTCCTTCAGACATTCTGCACGGACCAAGTCAGCAGCCAGGTCGCCCACCCTTTCCTTTCCCTCCAACAGCAACAACTCAGCTCATGCCCATGCCCTCTTCTCTCCCAGGCCGTCCAGATCATGAACGGGCTCTTCCACCTTGCGCTGGGGGGCCTGCTGATGATCCCCACAGGTGTCCACGGACCCATCTGTGTGGCTGTGTGGTACCCTCTCTGGGGAGGCATTCTGGTGAGTGAGAAAACAGTGACCACTGGTGAGAAAGTCAGGGAAAGTGCTGTGCAGCTCCGGGCCCTTTCTGTGTGAAGGAAAGCTCAAGGACAGGAACTAGATTATCCAGTTAAGCTCACTAAGTAGGAAGAGACTGACCTGAGCGTGAGATTCCTGGTTGAGCCGGAGGTCACGATGCATGTGAATTCAGAGGTGCTCGTTGTGGGTCTGCACAGGGGTGGGAGACCTTTCAGACAGCCCCCTCCACAGTGGGCTCTGGTAGGGAGGGGGACGCTAGGTATGTGCAACAGTGGACACCAAAGTACATTTTCATGAGTTGAAAAAAATAGAACTAAACACCAAAATGCACTGACATTCTCCTGCCATGCTACTGGGGGACACTATTCCGAGTCACAGTGGCAGAGGGCTGACAGCAGCCCCGTCGGTAAGGATTCAGTGCCGGGATCAACCCTATTTGATGCCACAGACTACAGGCTTCCAGCTGCCTGGTGTATGGACTGGGAAACGGGAGCTCTGCCTCTGTGCATTTACGATAGTCCCAGCTCCAAGTCCCAGGGTGCTAGAGTGTCACAGATTAGATGCAGGTAAGCCTGAGTAACGAGATATACCCACTAAAAAGTGAAGGAAGCTGGTGAACACGGCACACAGCTAGAGAAAGCGTCTGCAGGGGAGGCCGATGCCTCCATGACAGTTCTCGGGTCGGAAAGCCACTTCCCTGTATCCTCCCTTGGTGCCCTTTCTCCACCCCTCCCCTCCCACCCTCCTCTCCTCTCTTTCTTACAGTTCATTGTTTCTGGATCACTCCTGGTAGCTGCAGAGAAGACTTCCAGGAAGAGTCTGGCAAGTAACCGTATGTCCTTTCGTCCCGGGCATGAGGGAAGGACAGGTGTTCTCGGGAGAAAGCAGACCTTTAAGGAGCGTTGCAATCAGGGACCCCGTGCTGCCAAAGCCCGGGGTTCTGGCTGGTTCTGCTGTGATCTCATTCATCTCAAGCTTGCAAGCCAGCACCTTGAGAGGGCACAGACAGCCCTGTCATGCCAGGTGCCACGTGAAAGCGTCAGAGCTTTCTGAAACCACCCCTCGTCTCCCAGATGACCATTGGGAAAGTTACCTGAGCAGGGTTCAGACGGGTTCAGGTTCCACCCAGGTTAGAACATTGAGTTACAACCTGGAGTAGGCCAGTTTAGCTCTGTGAGCCTCGAGTTTTCACCTGTGACACGAAGATAGTGACCCTGGCTGTTGGGGGTGACGTCAGCCCCGGGAGGGAGGGAGGAATAAGGAACCATGTTCCAGTAGCTATGAGTGGTCTTGTTTGCATGACTCTCGGGTGTGTCCCCACCCAAGAAGAGGCTGCCTGCAGGGCCCCCTGTGCTAGATGAGTTGAGAAGAGTTTACTGGCGAGTTTCCTTCCTAGAAAGCCTGTCCCAGTGCTTGGTTCATATACCGGACGGAGTCACTTCAGCAGTCAGGGAAGGACAGAGCAGCCTCCGCTCATTCCTCTCTAGAAGATGCCTGGAAGGAAGAAGCTATTCTTGAAGATCAAATTATTGTAGCCCCCCAATACTGCCACCTCTCCTAGCTTGCCACATGCGTGTCACCTAGCGAGGGATGCAGTCCATGCTTCATAAAACACTCAGCAGTGACCCCATACTGTTAGGGCGCTTCTCACATATATCTATCTTCCTGTTTCCAACTTGAGTCAGTCCTGCGTGACACAACACTGACGCTGCCCCCTCTCACCCGCGCTGCCCATGACATTAGCCCCAGCTGCAGGTGCAAACGTGGCTGGCGGGCTAGGGCCACTACCAGCACTGTCACTGGTACAGCCTTCTCTCTCGGGTGGCGTGGTCCCAGGGCCTTGCAGCTGCTCCTCCCTACCCACGCCTGCACTGCCATCCACTGGAGTGTGGTGTGAGAACCTCCTTGTCCTCATTCCTGCCTTATTATGCGACAGTAACACAGATGCCGCCAGTTTTAACTTAGGCGATACGTATTTGCAAGTTGCCGAGTAGGATCAAGGACACAGCTGTAAGAATGGTCGCTCCTAGGACTGGGATTCACAGGCTGGGTGGTTGGAGGTGCCATAAAATTAAATGAGAAAGACACAAGAGCACACAGCATATCTATAGTGTAAAAAAACATACAGAGAGAAAGAGGCTCAAAAGGTTGCAGCGTGGCCCTGTGCGTGTCGGGGGCGCAGCGCCCGGCTTCCTCCCCGAGCTTGCGTTCTCCACGTGGAAGTCCAAACCCAGCTGATCAACCTGTTCGTCTCTGCTTCAGATCAGAGTGAAAGTGATCATGAACTCGTTGACTCTCTTCGCGGCCATTTCTGGAATAATCCTCTTGATCATGGACATACTTAATATTAAACTTTCCCATTTTTTAAAAATGGAGAGGCTGGTTCTCATTAAGACTCCCGTGCCATACATCAACATATACAACTGTGAGGAAAACTTGCCGGCCAAGCAGTACTGTTACCACATACAGTCTGTGTTCCTGGTGAGTGTAAGCGGGGCTTCCCTCCAAGGAGGAAACACGGGGCGGCAATCTCGCCATGAGAATCACTTCTAGGCCAGCTCTGGGTCTGCTCCTTGTTGCCCGGGTGGCTTTGGGCCAGAACTTCACCTACACCCTGCCTCAGTTTCCTCAGCTGTAAAATGGGAACATAACACTGCTTAGCTTCTCGGGTTATTCTGAGGAATAACTGAGAACACATACAAAGTACTTAGGACAGTGATAACGAAGAGCAATTAATCAGTGCAATTAACATTAATTATTATTAAATTAGAGGAGTGTGAAAAATTCCAAAGATATTATAAACATCTTTTCCTTCATGATGTTTTTAGTGGCGAGTTTGCCAGGGAAAACCTAGCGGAGGCGCCTGCGTGGCGTGACGTCCACATAGCGTGGGACGGATTTCATCCGACCCCAAAGCTTGCTCTGCACAGAACTGATTCTTCACTGACCACTCCTTCTGTGCTTTCTTCAGCACACGGCTCACCCTCTGCTGTGCGCCTGAAGCTGGGGAGGGGCTCGGGTGGCCGAAGGCGCTGCCTGCCCCTGGCTGTCCCTGCCGCTCATCTCTCCCTGAGAGACCTGGTCTTCGGGTCATTGTGTTTCTGCCCACAGCCACACGGCGAGCACCAGCATGCTCCTGGCGCCGTGACGGCTTGTCACCTGGCTCTGCTGTGTTTTCCAGGGCATTCTGTCAGTGATGCTGCTCTTCGCCGTCTTCCAGAAGCTTGTGGCGGCTGGCATTGTCGAGAATGAATGGAAAAGACTGTGCTCAAGACCCAAAGCCGTAAGTAGAGGCCGCGCCACCCACCACCGGGCTCGCGGTGCTACTCACCACCCGGCACTCTCCACAGAGAACAGGATCCAGAGACATTTTGCAGCTCCGCTCTTTGCTAAAGATGATCTTCCATATTGCTAGAAAGCAGAATATATCAGTGGCGATGAAAATGTTTTGAAATTTGAAATAAGCCTAGAATTATTAGATGGGGAATATAGGTCTCCAATCAGCGGACCTTCTTCCCTTCTGGACTTCAGACTTCCATCTCAGGTTCAAAATTCTATGCTTATGATGCAGAGTGAAGCTGGAGGTGCAAGCCTGAGCGAAGTCACTGGCTCTTTGGCTCCAGTTCTCTGTGTTCCCTTTTTTCCCCACCCACAGCATGATCTCTCCCAAAGACATAGGTTTGAAGAGACTCCCAAGTTGGGAAGGATGAATGTCCCAATGATGGATCTTCCTACTGCACCAGATTACTTAGATCTGCTTCCTCCTTTAGAACTACTTAGATTTTTTTTCTTTTCTTTCTATTGTGTTTATTAGTACATGCTTACCATACATAATGTTGGTAGTCAATATACAAATACAATACTTCTAATTTAAAAAAACACTTATCATAACCTCTTCCTCCTCTCTTCCCATGCTCCCTACAACTTTGGTCCCCTTTCCATCTGAAGACAATCTGTTTTCCTCATGATTTTCCCCTTCAGTTCTTTTCTTTTCCATCCCTTTGGCCCTTCTCTCTTAGCTGCTTTTGAATACAATAATCAAGTAGCTATTTATTTTTTTCATAATTTTATTGATAAACAAAGAGCAGTGAGACAGTTTCAAGTCAAACTGGTAGGTCAGTTTCAATAATTAACACATTGCCCCCATAAGAAAAAATGGAAACTCAGATGATTCATTGCACAACCCCAAAATATTCATATAAAAATGATTACAACACTGTAATATAAAATAAAAAATATAAATATAAAAAAAACAAAACACATTGCATACATTCTTCCTAGTGGTTAATTGCTGTACAAGATGCGGACATGGTATCCTATTTACAAACACCATTAGAACAAATCCCTCTATTCATTAAGAGAATGTAACTATATATCTATCCTAACCATTTTGAATACACAGATACAAAATGGACATTCATCTGTATCCCTTTTTTGTTAAGTTCTGTTATTAATACTTGATGAAAAATACCTGTTCCATGTTATGCCTAAAACGTTTGCTATTCAGACAGATAGTGAGGTTAAGCTTAACAGCCTAAGTTGTATGGTAATAACAATAAGCTTGTCTTCTGGAGGGTTAACAACGTAAGTTTGCAGACCAAAGTTAGAGAAAAGGGAGGCCTGAAAGGTAAGCCAACATTTTGGCCCTAGCCTTCCAAGGTCAGTTAAGACTCAGGACATAGAAGAACTTGTACTGTAAGGTCATGTATCTCAGTAGTGTCCCAAATTTTCTGATCAAGGAGATTATGGGGTCAAAGAGGAAAGTGATCCATGATGTAGAGTGTGCCTAAGGAAAGTCACATGGAGAGAAAACATTCTCTCAGGCTTTCACAGAGAGCACATTGGCCAAGCAATGGCCGTGACTCATCCACATGGCTGACACTGACAAAGGTTCTACAATCTGAGGTACAGGATCTCAGGATAAATCCTGAGGGGAATTTACTGACCTTCTCAAACCCAAAAGCTACAACTCTTGTTGCATAGGTCCTGCTTTACCTTGGTCTTATCCATCCAGTAGAAAAGTATGAAGACGAAGTATAGGAAGTAAAGCCATGCTGTTATGTTGAGCTGTAGGGGACTCAGGTCAACAATTTCTGACATTGCCAGTCAAGCAGAAGACCCAATACTATTATGGGCTACTGGACTCTTTTAGAATATTTTGCTGAGTTTACACACTTATAATATTCAACTACTGATATTTTAAATAGATTTACAATTTATCTTTGTGAATGTAGAAAGCAGGATAAGAAAGAGGAAATTACTTCCCCAGGGTGATAATCATTACAGAGAAGCCAGACCTAGAATCCGAGCTCCTCTGTTACGTGGCCCTCCTTTCCCAGGCCATGTGACCAGGCCAGGCCAAGGGGCAAAGCCTGCAACCCCCCATGATTGACTTGAACTTGAGTTTTGAGGAGGAAAAGATTTGAGCATCTGGGTAATTAGTCCTGGTAACTGGAGGTATACCACATAATAATAATTATGCATCATAATAACATAAGCAGCATAAAAACTAAGCGATACCTGTTAAATATTTGTAGTAATAATTGAGGACAATTATCAAGAGCAGTCAAGAAAAATGTGTTTGTGTTTTAGAACGTGGTTTTGCTGTCAGCTGAAGAGAAAAAAGAGCAGACAGTTGAAGTAAAGGAAGAGATGGTTGAACTAATTGAAGTGTCTTCCCAACCAAAACATGAGGAAGAGATTGAAATTATTCCAGTCCAAGAAGAGGAGGAAGAAACTGAAGTCAACTTTCCAGAACCTCCGCAAGACCAGGAGTCCTCCGCAGTAGAGGATGATAACTCGCCCTAAACTATTTTCTCTGCTTCCTTTTTTTCTAATTGCTATTGTCTTCCCTATATAAGAACCTGAAAGAGTAAGTAAGATCCAATATGTACCATGAAAGGAAAGAAGCCCGCCTCTGCTTCCTGTTTCCACTCTTCAGGCACTAGGGCCTATGGCTTCCAGCCACCGCTGATCTATGGAGATCTTCCACATCTCTTTTCCATATTTGCATGTGTTTCCCGAGAGCCTCTGGTCTCTCTTATTATTCAGAATGCAGCAAATGTAGCTGGTATTTTTGCAATGTTTCTTGTTCACAGCATCTTTCCTATGTGGGAAAGAGGCAGAATAAAT